GACATCTATCTCCGAACTGCAGAGAAACAAAACAAAACAAACTATCTCACAGCCGTTTTTCCATATTTTGCGCACAGACACACAGACAACCATCTTGTAACATCCGAACTAAAGTCAAGGGAATATCATTTTCATCCAATTAAGCAGAGATGAAGCTTTTCACCAATAGCATCGATCCTAAAGGTCGCTCATAGCCATTTTCTGATTTCCCATGATCGACTACCCACTGCGCATTATTTTCATCCAACGTAGTTGAGATGATAGTTTTTAACCAAATAATTGTCTTTTCATTATTTATATTTAAGATTTATTTACTCGTAGTCGAATATTGTAATTTAACCGTGATATTTCCATCTTTTTTTACTGTTCCTTTTATGCTCGAGATCTTATATATATATCTATTTATTATTCAAGATCACAAGTAATGTATGTTTAACAAAGTCTGAGTTTAACGTCAACCTGAGAAATATGAGATGTGTCGTTGATCGGCTCTTTATATACGAATTAGATGTTAATTGAGATGTTGTATATGGAAACTGGTTGACGTTGAGCTTTACAGAAGCTCTTGGACTCCTGGACTTCAGAACAACATAGGAGTCCAGGAGTCCGCTCCCCCCCCCTTGATTTATACACTCTTTTAGTCTGAAAGTGTTCCAGTTCCAGGAACTTTATTGGTTTTTTTCGAAGTTGGCTAGTTACTCATATAGTATTGCCGGTTCTCTAAGTGCTCAATTTATTACACTTTCGACGGAGAAAAACTCCTCTAGCTTTCTTAGAACTACTCCGAGAGAAATATTCTGTTTTTCTTTTAGAGAGACAAAAAGAAAAAGTGGATTCGATGGAGCATTTTGTCTATGACAAGTTCGAGCGAGCTCGTGACCTTCTTCGACTTGTACATGACATTGACCTGAAGGAATGGGCGCAACTACGAGCACGATCAATGTCTTTTCCTGAATTTGTGGCTTCTGATACTTGGATTCTGAATTCAAATACAAGCATAACAATTAACATTGATCATCTGATTAATACCAATAAGTCAAAGTATACCAACATGGAGATTAGTAGTGTAAATTATATCATGGTATGGCTACATACACAATTAGCCATTTCAATGAAGTGATTAAAAATGAAAAACTGTACAATAAAATAAGTGCTTTCTTGTTGCATACGAACAGATTCTAATATAGAAACTTGAAAAAAACGTTACTCACATAGACCGCAATGCGAATATACGAAGCTGCTTAATACTAAACAAACAAACAAACAAACAAATACAAACATAACATTTGATCACGCAAGATCACGAAGGTCAGTTGCATTTACCACAGACAGAATCCTTTGCTATTTCCTGAATGGAACGCGCACGTTTTCTCAGGTCGGAACGAAACGAGGACATAAACAAAGAGGAAATTCCGAAGTCTGCTGATAAGTTTCTGAGCGATGTTCGTACTCTTCTTCCAAAATCATAGTATGCATAGTTCGCATTCGCGGCAAATTTATAAAAAGTCCATACGGCTGCTTCGCAGCGAAGTGAAAAGCATTATGTGTTAATTATTTTCGGTGTGTATAGGATTCTGGGATTCTTGCAATTGCCCGGATAATTCGCATACACATTAGACGAGCTCTCTGGGATTCTGATAATCTGGGATTATTAGGCATTCCTCTTATAATTGTACAGCCGGAAAATCTGATCAAAAATATATAAATCAGCTCACATGCTCGAATCCAGCATTGCTCATCAGCTTTTTCAATCATTCCGGAAACTTAAAATATTACAAAGTCATGTAAAACAGAAAATGTGAAAGTAACATAAAGGGAGCGACGGAGAACATCAGAAAATCAGAAGACCACAAAGCCACAAAATTATGTAACTTAGTACATATCGCTTGACTCTTAGAACATAGTTCTAAGCGTAAAACGACTCTCAGAATAAATTCTGTACCTGGGCATCTATGTTTCACTTATTTGTAGTATATTTTCAACTGAACAAACTTTTCTTGTGTGAATCCGACGAAGCACAGATGAAAAGCTGATATCAAATCAACTAAACAAATGAGTATATTATTCTTATAATATTTTATTCAAAACTTTTGTCGAATATGGCAGTAATTTCGTAGTTCGACAGAAACAGTTTTCGATAGTGTCAAATTTTGAGTCCAAAAACTTCGACACTGTTGAATTTCGAGCGAAAAATTTTCGACAGACTGAAAACTCGACAATGTCGAAGTTTTTTGTCTCAAAATTTGACACTGTCGAAACACATATAATCTTGAAATTACTCACCATATATCATTTAAACTCATTAAGCTAATTATCGTATAATCAACAGAACTAGAAATTTTATACTTTGGGGTAAATAGAGACACTCGTGTAATTTTTACGTGGGCGTGTAGAAAAATGTTCGGTCTACCACCGTGTTCAATAGCAAGTTTTTCCGATCAAAAACGGCCAAGAGATAGCAAAAAAGAACTAAAATTTCAAAGAGTGTCTCTAATTATCCCGAAGTACTCTATGTGTCATGAAACATTGAAAATCATTCTAAAATTGCTCTAGCATAAAGTACTAAAAAACGGCCTAAAAACGGTCCGTTAACTGGCTGTTAACGGCCTGTTTACGGTTTAAAGAATCTAATATGTGTGTGTTTCTCGTTTTTCCTCCAGCATATTTCACACTATGTAGATGCAGTGAAATAAACTGGATGTATAGTACGTAAGCTTGCAAGCTTGAATAGCACTTTGATAATGTTAGTTTTCGATCTGACATGGCCATATAGTTACAGTGACAGACTGGCAAACACAAGTTCTGATGTTCGAATCTCTAATAGCTAAAATAGATAAAACTTATTGTGTCTTTTCTTTTGTATGTCTTACAAGATCATAGGTCTTTTGTAAGTCTGGTGTCACATCAGAAGATTTTTTAAGGTATTCATATGTTGATTTTGGTATAAGTATACCAAACTTTTGTCAATCTACTGTTTTGATGATCAAACTGAAGATTTACTCCAGTGTACTTAGCGTTATTCCTTCTTCAGAAGACATTCGTTTCCAAACTGACTGAAGTAATGTTGAGTAGTTACGAAGAATACGTGTAGTTTTTAAACGATATTTACAGTCGTAGGTAAGAAAATAACTTAACATGTACATATAGAAATTTTTGGATTCTATTGTAAGAAAGAATTATTTACGCACAGATTCCTATTGATGAAAAAGAAAAATAATTTGCTGTAAAGCGAATCTTTTAGTAATCTATGTGCTGAATGAATAATAAGTGTTGTTGACATTATGTTTTATAAAACAAAGAATGAGAAGAGGCTTACATACGAAAAGAAAAAAATTAGTAATTATATTAAAGCTAGTAATTTTTTAAAATCGTTAAATGTCGCACAATTTCGAACAAATTGTCTCAGAAATTCTATCAAATATTATCATGAGTGTAGAAATTATAAAGTTTATCCACTTTGCAAAAGTTTATCCACCTGCTGTGAACGATTATTCAGTGAACTAAATTTATTGTCAATTTCGAAACATAATCGAGTAAAGAATAGTCTTTTCATTATAATCACATCCTTGTTATTGCTGTAGTAGAACATGACAATATTTTCTTCGTTCTCTCGGCATCAAAATACACTCCCTGTGGGACTTTTTCTCTCTTTAATAAAGTGAGTTATATGTATAATATCGCAATATCGTACCTCATTCTTCAAACTACCAAAATGACTTCTTCTCGTCTTTTCCTACTTTCTGCTGTCGGCATATTTTATCATTTTGTGGCATGTGTCTCTGGTCATGCCTACTTCTCTTATCCAACTCCTCGTAACACTTATTGTACTAATTCTACATGCACCTCTAATGGTGTAGCAGGAGCTCAAGGACCGGTTTGGCTTTTACCAGCGAATAGTACATTAGTCACAGCAAGTCCAACAAGTCAAGCAACATGTAATGGTTCTACTTTGGCGATTCCTGCTCCAGCGGGTAATAGCTACGATCCGGGATTCAAAGGCACAACAGCCACTTCATGGTCAGCTGGTTCACTTCAAACACTTCAAATATTCGTTTCCGAAATTCATTCAGCCGAAAATCAAACGATTTATCCAACTGATGGGTGGCAAATCCGTTATCGGGATGGTGCACAGTCCGGTTCAACATTTTCTCCCATTGCATTTACTTATGTAAATGTATCAACAGTGGCATCTGTTGGTCCTGCTCCGGCCGCTGGATTTCAGTTAGGTCAGACAGTTCTTGCTACAATTACTGTCCCCTCTACTACGACTACAGATGGCATATTTCAGTTTTTCTGGCGTAACAACGAAGTTGGTCCGGGTGTTATGTGGTTATCGTGTGCCGATGTTACCATTACTGCTCTCAGCACTACTCCTGGTCTAAACACTACTCCTACACTGGGTACCACTCCTGCAGTCGGCACTACTCCTGCTCCACCAACATTCTTTGTTATTTTTATCGCTCTTCTGGCCGCTGTTGGTGCAGCATTAGTTTTCTAGAACAACATCCTGTATTCGACGGGGAAAGATTAACAAGTTTTCAAGTTCAAGTTTAATTGTGTACATTTAAGTTTGGCTTGGACAACGGTTTGTGTGTCAGACATCCAAAAATCTATACAACTGTGTGAAACTGCATCTTATCATTCTTCTTTTATCTGATGAATTTTCGGCCATTATTAGACCACGAAATGACTGAAATCGGTCAGTCAATTTCCCTGCTCTTCTTAAAAACCTCCGCATCCATCTCAGGAATAAATGTCGACGTCCTGTGGACCGATCGCGCTCAAACTTTTTGCGGAGATAGAGACTAACCTAGCTTAGAAACTACGACAATTCTATCCAATCAAAACTTTCAGAAAAAAGCAGAAAAATGTTTGATTGGGCAAAACGTAGATCTCGCCAAAAACGTAACTACTTCCACAAATTTTTTTGTCCGATTTTTCCAGGAGTGGTCTCATTCGATAGAGAAGTGAAAAATGAAGAGACTAAAGTATCAGTTTTGCAATTTTTGCGCTCGAGCCGAGATATTTCAAAAACAACACAAAAGTACAAGAAAGATAAAGATTGAAAAAGTCATCACTCGGTGCCGGAATCGAATTTTCAAAAACGATACTGCAATCTATTCAGTTTTTAATTCTCTAACGAATGAGACCACTCCAGGAAAAATTGGGGTGAATATCATGCTAGAGAAGGTGGCAAATCTCCCACTCCTCCAGAAAATTTAGCGTTAGACCTTTTAGCGATTTTCACGACACTTTCCCCGACACGCATTTGAACACTCAAAAAGTCCAATTTTTGTGCGTTTATTCGCGTTTTTATGAATCCGTGTCTGCTTGGGTAGCCGCGTCGGACCTTGCTCTACCCAATGTTACTTTGAAATTTTTTGTCATGAGCTAGTTTTTTATTTAACTTTTCCTTTTTTTCTTTCTTAACAGCGACAACAACAATAGGCGTTTTCTAAAGTTTCTCAGCATCGCAGTATCGTTAACAATGTCTTCATGCAGCAGCCCAATAGCCCAAGAATTCTGCTACGAAATTAATCAAAACTTCTCCCGCTGCGATTTAATTCGGTTAGAAATTAACGAGCTTTTTCTGACGAACTAGCTGAAAAAATCATCAGTTTTAGACCTCGCTTGACGAAAATATCACGGCTTCCTTAAGTAATAGAGAGCTCATTTGTTCAAAAGTGAATATGCAAATACAGAGGAGTAAAAATATTAAAAGAAATTGGAAAAGTCATTGAACAGAACGGACTTTATACGCAGTGTAGTAACGGTGCGATGCCGTTGCAATTCACTCACATCCCTAGTAGAATCCGCGCTTCATTGCGCGTCGCGAAGCCGTAGTAATCTTGTCACAATCTTGCCGCGCAATACCCAATTTGAATCGCGATCGCTATCGCGGACGCACATATTCGTGAATTTTTCGCGTTCCGCGAAAAATTCGCGATTGTGTCCGGAAACAGTTCGCGACAGGATCGCGATTGAGTTCGCGGCAAGATCGCGATTGAGTTCGCAAGAAGATGGTAGCAAGATTGGGACTGAATTTGCTTGTTTCGCCGCACGATCGCTACTGAAATCGAACGTTTCGCGACAGGATCGTGTTCAAATTGCTTGTATGGCGGCAAGATCTCGGCTTCACAGCAAACCATTTCAGGATGATGAACCTGTAATTGTGAGCACTGTCAGTAGCTTTAAAAGGTTCTCGAAATCTACTTTTCATAGTTACTACTGGTTTCTATTCTTTAACTAGAAGAGTGAGAAACATTTCTCAGAGAATAGTGCTGGTATAGAAGATATCAACATAGAAGATATCAACATAGAGAGAGAAGAACATATCACAAAACTACTAACATTTTATTGGAGTTTTGCAAGCAACATTTTTCACTTTCGCTAATCGTAAGAAACCATTTAGATATCAGCTCCTTATGCTTTTATTTTATCTGAGTCGCGAACGCGACGCGATCCCAGCCAGGAACGTGATACAATCTGATCTGAACCGCGAACGCGATGCAATTTCGTCTAAATTATGTACGCGCCATGATCTGAATCGCGAACGCGACACGATCCAGGGGTGAACCTGACGCGATTTGGATCGCGAATGTGTAGCGTCCCAGAACGCGAACGCGATACAATCTGATTTAAATCGCGAACATGACGCGATTTGTTTTGAATCGCGAACGCGATGTGATCTTAACCGCGAACGCGACGTGATTCGAAGAGCGAACGCGGCGCGATCGCCAATTTTTCGCGGAACGCGCAAAATTCGCGGCCGCGACATAATTGCGGCAAGAATAGAGCGCGGATGTAACTAGGGATATTAGAAAATTTGCTTTGCATAGGAAATGGTTTTAGAGCACTTGTAAAGTCAGGAACAATCATAAAGAAAGTTGAAAATATGTATTTTACACGTTCAAAAAAATCTACTCCATTTCAAGAATTTCGAATAACCACCGCGTGCATCTGTCGTCGAGGACCGTGAGAGCAGATATGATAAGCAAAGCTGGCTTATACGCTACGAAAAGACCTGTTTTCGTCTTGATCTAACCAATTGGGGATCGTATATGGCTTGGACAAGAGTAGCGCTCCTACGTTTTTTAACAGTATTTTTCCTAACCCAGCGGCAGCACAAATCTTAATTCTTACACCATTTTGTAGCTACACCTAGGACGAGTATCTGATATCAAAATGAGCCTACAAGTTTCTCAGTTTTAGTTGTGCTTCCGTAGACGATATACAGAACTTACTTTGTGACGGTTTTTTGATGGCCAAATCACTAGTCAACGGCATTGCGCGTATAATATAATTTAAACAGACCTACACCCTATTATTTAGTCACACCTTGTTACAAAAGAAAATAGAATTTAAAAAAACCTAGCAATCACTAAGAAGTCACTAAGCGGAGAATAAATTAATTGCATTTTAAAAGCTGCTTGAAAGGTTTTTATTTCAGTTTGAATTACTCCAGATTGTGGTGAATCTAATTTTCTATCTAGGGAAAAAGATTTTGAAGATTTGCGATGTTATTTCAGCTGAAATTGTAAAGTTTTTCGACGTGAAGTTCGCGCTTTTGCTCATTTCATACTTGAAGTTCGTAGCCAGCGTCAAAAACTGTTTTCGGACATGTATATCAAAGGTCAGTTCGAGAAAAAAACTTAGAAAGCACCTACTCAGCGAAAGTACTGCCAAAAAAACTGCGTTTCAGACGTTGCAACCTTTCGTATTTCGATGTTTTAAACACTAGTGTCTTAACACTTTTTTCCGACATTATGATGTAAACATGGTTAGGACACTTTATGTTTCAGGCGTCAGAACGCTACGTAAACGGCGGGATCACTTTTCTCAGGAGTATCAATACATACGCTTATTTTGGTAAAACTCGAATCTACTTACAGTAGAAAAAAACGTTTTCCATAAATCCAGGGTCTCCAAAAACCCGACTTTTTTAAAGTGTAGTTAAAGGAATATTTAAAGGTGTTAGCTCCACATCTGATATTGTTTTAAAGGTAAAAAATAAGTAAACGACTCTTGTTGGTTTTTATTTTCTACTTCATTGATCTTTATGTCAGTTGCGTAAACTACGTTTTCTTGAATGGAAACACTAGAAATATACCTCCTTTATTATTAATAATTTTCAATTCAAAAACCGAATTTTTGTCACAGGGTTTGGAATTTACGTGCAACTGAATCCAAAATTCTGATTCGATTATAAGTCTTAGCCAACGAAGGTTCAAAGTCCGAAATGTGTTTTCAGTCCAGAAAAACACATCTAGAAAGAAATTGTTAATGCTGACATTTGAGTAAATACTTTTCTTTTCTTTGCAGGAAAAGAAACTTTCAAATTATGACAGAGCTGCGAAAAACGGTTCTCTGCTGTGATTGACTTATCCATGGAGTATTTTATAGCTATTTTTCTGTATTTTGCGCACAGACAGATAACCATTTTGTAATACCCTAGACTACAAGGTAACGCTCGTCTACACTTGCTCTGTCCCTTGACTTTAAGAACTTATATCTACGAACGACCTTCCATGGACTATGAATCCAAGACAACGCTCACGCCTCCCTTCGGTCGGCGTTCGCTCAGGGACGATCGAAAATATGTTGTGAACTTGTCTCTGATCTGATGTGTAAGGTTTGTAATCTTATGTAGATTTAGAAACGTTTCTCAGGACCCTTCAAATATCCCAGAGGTCTAAGGATATTCCTAAAGTCAAAATGATGGTTAGGCCTCCCCTCGGTCTGCGTTCGCAAATGCGATAGTCGAGAAATGTTGTAAACTTCTCTCATCCCACGAAAAAACCCAGTGTATTGTCTATCCAAAAAAAACAGTGGCCTCGGTTGTGTTTTAAATAACTTTTGATAGAAAAATGATAGAAACCTGCGCTTTTAAGATTTGAAAACTAGACACTTAAAGCTGCATTTCTCTAAGCAGGATTGATGTTTGAAAATGTTTTCAAAGCCGGTTTTTCAGAGGATCTTTGGGAAACAGGTTTGGATCTCTGAAAGCTGACAAAGAAATAGGCCAGTCTTTTTGATAGATATATAGTCGAAGTGTCTTCTGCCAAACTGGATCTAAGCGACATTTCGAAAATCCATGGTTCGGGAGCTATGGACGTTTTTCCTGAAGCTTTAGCACTCCTCTGTCGTTAGGTTTGGGACTTTCAGAAATGAATGAAAACACAGGTTATCGCCTATGTTAAATCTCGTGGCAATGTTAGTTTTCCGAACAAAATGCAAGAACCGAGTGAAAATCTATATTAGGTGAAATAATCTATAGCAGAAAACAGAGTATAACTTGACATTCTAAAGTAGGTTGGATGAATTGTGACAGTTATGAATTTTTTAATTTTTAATGACAATAATCAAAAATAGGTTATTTCACCTAATATAGGTTTTCACTCGGTTCTTGCATTTTGTTCGGAAAACTAACATTTCTGGCGACATCTCTCCGCGAACAACAGAAAAACTTTGCTTAGCTTTTTTTCTCGTTGAATTAGTAAATATTTCAGGTCATCTCTTCCAGTATTTACTCTCTCGTTCTCTCTCTTCATCTTCCTACATTTTTCTGTTGTGATTGGCTTATCTATGGAATATCTGACAGCCATTTTTCCGTATTTTGCGCACAGACACACAGACAACCATTTTGTAACACCCTAGGCTGAATTCAAGGGAATAAAGTGAAGGGAATACTTTTCTTTTCTAATGTCATTAAGGGCCCCCCCTCAGAAATTATCTCCGACACCGTACATCCGATCTTGACGAAACTTTCCATAAATGTTAGGCGCAATGAGCTACGGGAATGAAAAATTTTTTCTGTCTCCAAGTCTTACGGTTCAGGAGTTTTCCAGAGATCAAGGTTCAAAAAGGACCCTGAAGTGTGTTCCAAG